TTGCACATGTGTTAACATTAAAGGAAAATGATGGTTGGTGTAAGCGTTGCAACTCGTTATGATTCTAGTTATTATTAAAAGAAATGTGGCAGTGGTTGCGATCATTTTAACTTATTGTCATTCTAGTGATAATAATAATATTTATAGCAAGTGGCATCCTTTTTTTACAAAAACCCTTATGAATAGCAATAGGAAACTATATGAGCAATTAAAAAAATCCCTTTACCTTATTTTTCTTTGCATTTGTAATATACTTTTCAGTTTATCCGCATGGTTTTAATCGCTTTTTGAATATTTTGAGTATTTCTCAGCAAACGAATAATAATAATAATAATAATAAAGGCCTAGGATAAAAGCATACGTTATAAAATTAAAGTAAAACATTGTAATTAACAAATTAATTGTAATGACTTACACAAATAAATAATTATACAAAGATCACTTTGTCAATTGTTTTCTCGTCTAATAGATGATGCCATCACTGTTTTAATTTAGTTTGACTCAACTGTTTTGATATTTCTTCCAAACAAACATGATAAATCTTTTGCTTTGGGTCTTGAATTTACCATTACTGTTTACATATAATAGAGACAGTGAGAATTATGATTGTGATTACTAATACTTACGAATGATGGATTTTTGACATAAGGGTCCTTGGTTTATTTCATTTCACTCATTCATTCACTAAAAAGAATTTTATTAATACACATTGTATTAATGTCGTTTTATATGGTTGAACGATGGATAATTGTTACGCGACCATCAAAAATATTCTAGTTGGTATTAAGAGGTAATAATACTATGTACTGTATACAACATTGTATTAATGTTTGTTTTTAAGCAAATCTACGGTTAAACGATGGATTATTGTTACACGACCATCAAAGAAAAAAAATTTTAGCATCAATATCAAATACCTAGTGGGTACTATTGAAATTCTTATTGAATATTTGTATTGATAAACAAGCTGAGGCACAAGTTGATCGTTATTTATTAACGAGATTACTAATCGTGTTTCAACGAATTTTTGTCGAAACGTGAATTTAATTATAATTCGCTGGAAGGAAGTCGTTGAAACGAGGATTTGACTGTACTTGAAAAATAAAAAATTCTTTTTTTTGTGTTGAACCGAAAATTTCGGTTTGAACCAAACCGTTCGGAGCTTTAACTATTGCAAATCGTGATATAACAGAGTTAGATTTAATAATGTTTATAAATGCTTATTTTATTTTGTTTATACATATATTAGTAGGAATTACGTGTACACTGGAATCTATATATTAATTTAATAGTTGTGAAAGAATTAGTACTGAAAGTAAATGAAGAAAAAAATATGAAAATAATATTGATGAACAAAATGTAAATTTCTAAATAAGTGATTTTTCACATAAGAAAACTTAATAAGTAGCCTTAACAGTTTTTTTATTAGAAAAGCTGAAAATCCGATGTTATATTATTAACAAAAAAATCATACTGTGATCCAAAATCAGTAAATTTCGGTGAAGCATGTTGGACTCCATGGATAAAAATCGAAGATAAAGACTCATCAGATACATACCCGTGTTTCAAAATGTTAAAAGATAATTACGACCTGATTGTAAATATTTTTACCAGAAATATGGAACATATTATTAAATTTACGAAATCTTGAAATTATGGTATAATTATTTCAGGCAAACAACTGCTAATTATTTATATATTTATTTAAGTAGGTTTTAATATGAGAATTATTCATTCGATCAAATAGGATATGGAAAGTAATACTAATACCAGTTCAAGATAAAAATCATTTTACAGTCAAAGCTCTCTATAACGAACCTCCGAGAAGCGAACTGCTCTATATAATGAACTAAGATTTTGGTCCCGATTTTTGTTAATTAAATTTGCTCTCTATAACGAACTTTATAATTAAATTCTCTATTCTGTATAACGAACTGTCTTTGAGGAAACCAAATGCAAATTTATATAACAATAATAAATGATGCTCTCTATAACGAACTCCCATGTAACAAAGTTTTTTGTTACACCAAATGTTATACAGAACTCATTGCTCTTGAAACTTCACCAGCATATAGTTGTTACTTCTCTAAATTGGAGATCAAGTTCAGATCCAATTCAAATCTAGTTTATCACTTACTTTTTATTGCCAGAATGTTTGCTGTGTATTGTAAAGTTACATTGTAACATAAATATTTATTATTTAACATAAAAAAAAATTTATTAACCAATAAATTATTCACGTAACCATGAAATGAGACGATCAACAATTCTTTATAACGAACCAAAATTCTCGGTCCAGGGGGTTTGTTATATAGAGCTTTGACTGTATATATGTATTGAAATGAGGATTTTTTCAAGGAGGTAAAAATATTTTTAATTATTTAATTATTTATATGAGTCTTTGGTTAGCATAAAAATAAATGTTATTCTCCATGTTTCAAGTTTGTTTATTGATGATTTAATATCATGAAAAATGGATCGTTCTTGGAATCTTTTTCAAGTGAATTCTCTGCAACTTTATATCAAAATTAATATATTGAATAAATGAATCTAATTACATTAATAATGTTAATGTTAATAATGAATCTTGAACTTTAATAATATTTTTAATATTTTTAATATTTAATATTTAATTTATGCAAGCTCGCCAACTAAAATATAACCACGTTCTGGCCTAATATAACCTAAAACAATCACTCGTAACTCTTTTCCTCTAAAAATTTATGCATTATATGAGCCTCCTAATTAATAAATTAATTAATAAAATGATTAAATATTTGTAATAGATAAATGCATTATATGTATAATATATTGTCTTTTCATCACTTTTCTCATATTCCTCACATATCATTAATCGATGCCCACCGCACTCCCTTTCTCATTTTTATAATATGGATTCCACCCTAAACTCGTTACCATTGAATCCAGGTTGCTATTATCGTTACTACTATATTACTATTACTGATATTATTATCAGAATCATAATTGTCATCATCGTTGTCATTAAAAATTACTTGTGCCCATCCATAATAAATTCCTGGTTCCATACATTTACAAATTTCTTCGAACAATGCTTCTGGTAAATTTGCTATGTTATTAAATAAATGCTATAATGTTATATATTAAGTGGGTTTGATTGCAAGGGAACGGTACTATGAGAAGTTTCCATTTGAATCATATTTTTTTACATCAAGAAAAGTTTTTTTGAATTCATGTAAAATCATCAGCATGTCTATTTACCTTTTGGAATTCCAAGTTCTTTACTACCACGTCCAAATCCTTTGATCACTTCACCTTTCATCTTAACTGGATAAGGTGTCACTGGAACTTCTTGTCCAACTATTAATGGACGTGTGTTATTATTTGACATGATTATAAAAAAAAATCGTTATAGAGAGAATGAACTGTATATCCAAATTTGGTAAAATACTTAGTATGCCATTAATTGTACACATAAAAGGGTTAAATTCCTAATTTGCTTGACTAAATTGACTTAACAATAATGACTTAGGTTACGCAGCCAGCCCTGTTACACACATTAAATAGGTATTTAATGTGAAAGAATGTAAATTAAAAAGTATCGCTTAGAAAAGTGGCGCTGCACACACCAATCAACACCATTTCGAGCTTTGCAAAATAATTCTACTTTTATTTTTATTTCAGATCAAGTTTGAGTTTTGACTATATTAGTAGCGAAGTTTGCCCAACATATGCGCTGACCCTAAAATTCAGTACGATATGATCATAATGTTATGAATACTTTATACTAACAAAAACCCATGGTTTTCAGGTGGGCCGTTGGTTTGACGGGCTGTTGAATAGTAAAATAGATTTTTAGCGAAGCAAATAAAATTTTTCAGGGTTAATTATCATTCTACCGACCAGTTTACACATTAAAAATACTCGTGTTTAACGTCGAGACACAATAAGATATAAGGTTTGTAAATTTCTTTAATTTTCGTCAACTAAGAAAATTCATAGTAATAATAATAATGACTTTTTAGTTTAGCCAAATGCTCATTTAGGTTACGCAACCGGCTCTGATTATAATACTAATACTAACATCCCAACTTACGTCATTCTATTTAAAATCATTCATTCAATTTAAAAGTTTAAGAGTTCTCGGAGATAAGGGAACTAGATGACTGAACCTTTAGAACATATAAATAACGTTATAATTTTCTTAACTATATTTTTTTTTGGTCACAACTTTATCTTATTGTAACTGTATAACATAATAACAATAAACATATCTTTAACAAGAAACTTTTTCTTTGGTGGGGCTAGTCTTCATATTAATCCTATATAGTTATTTTTCTTTGTTTTTCTTTCTTTTAGCGAGATATTATTAGCGAGTGAAACCTAGAAAGAGTGGGAGATAGCTTCGAAAGTAAAGCGTAAACATTTATTCGCGGAAATTGTTATTAATTATCTTTGGTGACTCGGACGCATTTAATATATTCATTTCTTTTGCAAAAAACTTTTAATTTTAATAAAATACAATTGATAATAAACACATGTAGTTTTCCAAAATACAGCCAATATATTTCCTTGTATCGTGTCGTGTGGATTTGTTTTTTTGTTTTACTATAATTCGTAATGAAGTAAGTCAATTTATATATGCCAAGTCATTTTCTATTACCATGGGTAATAATCACATACAGGTGAGAGATAAATTTGTATATTAATATTAAAGAGGGTGAACATGTGCATGTAAAGGATTTTAGAAGATAGATATTGAACTAGTTACATAATAAAGGGCTCAAAATTATTGTTTTCCTTTGATATCAAATTCTTTTATCATTAAATTTAATTTCAAAAAAAATCTCATACATTCATTCACACATACATTCATTCATAAACTTATACATTCATACATTCACTCATTAATTCATTACATTAATTATTCAAAAAATTATAAAAAAAAGGAGTTATTAAAATTAATTCATAAATTATCCTTTAAAACAATTTTTTATTACACATTCACATTCCTTATCCTTTTCTCGCCTTCACTTTAAAACAAATTCATTCGTTTTATCCTAATTTAATAAAAATAAAGATGATGTCTGTTGACGGTGACATTACCGGTGGTGGTATTGGAGATAATAATAATAATAATATTGATAATAATAAAGGTGATAAAAAAGGTGGTCTCGCATTAGCAAGCTCATTATTAAAGATTAACGATGATGATGATTATACACGTAATTCTATAATATCACTGATCTCAAAATATAACCGTAATTCATCCGCTGACGAAAATGATAGTAATAACAATAATAATAATGAAGAGTATGAAAATATTGATGAAACTGATTTATCATCATCGTCTTCATTTTATACTTCTTCATCAAAAAATGGTCAATCGAGTAATAATAATAGTGGTGATGAATGTGAAAAAATCGACAACAACAACAACAACAGCAACTATAATAGTGTAGATATTAGTAATAATCATGATCCATTTTGGATTAAAAAATCAGCGACGCCAGTGAATAACGAAGAAGAGTTCAAGGACCACGACGACAATATCAGCTATATTATTAATGATAATCTTAGTAATTTTTCATCACCAAAAGCATCAGTAACAGCTTTCTCGCCAATAATAACAACACCTTCAATAATGACAACGACATCTACAACAGATTCACAAAAATCATCTCCAACTTCAATAACTCCCCCGACTTCAATCACATTTCAAACAGTAACTACAATTATGGTACATGAAAGTGAACAAATAACTTCATATGATAATGGTAATGGTGATGGTGATAATAATAATAATAATAACAATAATAATAATAATAATAATAATAATAATAATAATAATAATAATAATAACAACAACAACAATAGAAATAAGTTTGTTAAAAAATTTAAATCATTTGGATCAATAAAAGACTCATTAAAAACAATCAAACCTTCTAAAAACGAAAGAATCTTATGTGATTTAAACATTCCTTTACCAGGAAATAATGAATATATAATATTTGAATGTAAAATTTCAAAATTAAATTCTGCCGCATCTAAAAAATTATCAAGAAATAATTTTTTAATTTTAACTAAACACTTTTTATTGAGCTTTAAAAATGGAGAAAAAGCTGCAAAACTATTATTCGATGAAATTACCAAAGATAATAAATCGACACCGTCTTCAACAACCATCACTAATAATAATAAGCTATCAGAAAATATATTATTTTCTTTGTTAACTGTGTTTGCAATAACTGAAACCTTAGTACCAGAACCAGCAATGAGAATAGATTATATAATATCTGAAAAAAAAACGTCTTATGTAACAATAGTTTCTTTAACTCTTCAAAATCATAAACAACTATTAAATGTAATTAGATCAACCATATCTTCAATAAATACCATCGGTCCACATTTGACTAAAAGACAAAATAATTGGTTAGTTCAAAAATTAAATTCTTTACAAGATTTAAAAAATAATAAAAACCAAATAACATTCAAAGTTTTACTACAAGGAATTACTGATGAAAATCATACCAACAAGGTTTCAGCAAAAAAAGATGTTCCTGTATTTATAGCTTTAGGAAAAAATAATGTTTATTTAATACCTATTAGTTTATTTGATGGCTCATCGACATCATCAAGTCATCCAAGTAATGAAGATTCAACTACTAAAATCGAGTTTAAATTTAATAGAAAAATAAGTAATCAAACTTTACAATATCCATTACTATTAGAAGAAAACAAACCAAAGGAGATTGACATTAAAAGATATCAATATCCACTATTATGTTTAACCAAAATATTTGCTGATGATAGGGATGACAAATTTCAATTGTCCTTTAAGAATGGAACAGGTTTATTAACAAGAACCTTAACTATTTCTTCATTAGCATATAAAACGATAATTCAAGAATTAAAAAAAGCTATTGACTCTATAATTTTTTGGTGGCCAAATCCAACTTATCAATTGATAATCACAGAAAAAATTACATCTTCTTCTAACACTTTTCAGGAAAAATCTAATAATGTTAAATTATCAAAAGATGATTTTGAAAGAATGCTAGAAGCTCAATGTCATGCATTTAAAGCTAATCGTTCAAGAATAGCTTTCAGATTAGAACATATCACAGATGTTGACAGCAATGATGATAGTAGTGACAATTTGCCTTTTAGATTTACATTGTTACCTCCTTCAAACCCTAATTCAGACTTAGATTCTAATAATTTAGATTTCTATTTCAACTCCAATAATTTCAAAAATCCTCTCGAAACTACCACCACCACCGTTACACCACCACCATCACCACCACCACCACCACCATTATCACCACCACCGT